AAAATGCAATTTACAAGTGATTTCGAAAACTTGCAAATGTATTGGCATGTCGGTTTGCTTAGTTCGGAACATGCGCTCAACAATCCAAAGGTAAAATCATTGATCGCCAGTCAGAATTTGGAATTCGATCTGATTGTGTTGGAACAATTCTATCACGAGAGTTTCCTAATGTTTGCGCATAAGTTCAAGTGTCCCGTTGTTACATTGGGCACCATGGGTTATGCGGATAATATGGATCACGCTATGGGTCTGCTAACACCATGGGCTATCGTGCCACATTTGCTGGTCTCCTACACGGATCAAATGTCATTTGCGCAACGTGCATATAACGCATATTTGTCGCTGTACGATGCGGCGTTGAGACGCTGGTATTATCTGCCACAAATGCAAGAGATGGCTGAGCGACACTTCAGCGGCCACATTGATGGTAAGTTAAGATTGGATGCACTTCCAAGAGTTTTGGTTGTGGTATTAATGCGCCTTTTACTTCTCCATTCTAGGTCCACTGCCGCATGTCAGCACGTTGGAGAAAAATATTTCGTTAATGTTGATCAACAGTCATCGCAGCACGGATGTGCCACGCCCCAGCATGCCTGGTCTAATCGATGTGGCTGGTGTGCATATCAAGCCCGCGAAGCCTTTGCCCGATGATCTACAGAACTTCTTAGATAACTCGACGCACGGTGTGATCTACTTTAGTGTGGGTTCCTACATGAAGAGCACAGATATGCCGCTGGAAAAGGTCAATGTCATACTGAATGCCTTTAGCCAACTCAAGCAGAATGTGTTGTGGAAATTCGAAAATTCGTCAATTGGTCATCTGCCGCCGAATGTGAAAATCCAAAGTTGGTTACCTCAAAACGACATTCTCGCTCATCCGAATGTGAAAGTCTTCATTACACACGGTGGCATTTTCGGCACGCAGGAGGCCATTCATTGGGGCGTACCAATGCTGTGCATACCCTTCTATGGGGACCAACATCGCAACTCAATGCGTTCGGTGCAGGCCGGCTATGCGCGCT